AAAGTGACTTAGGACCAGTTCTTGCCCTGACAACCGTGATGCTTTTCCCACAATCACATGACCAAAATTTGAGCTCTTGGCAACTGGCAGGTATTTACGGCGGTTGCAGCATCCCAGGGTGACGTGATCACCACCTGCGACTTCCCCAGCTGGCTTCCGTCATGTGAAGTCAACTCACTTAATAACAGCATGATTCATTTAAGAACCACAGTGATTTGCTTAACAATCATGGCAAAAAGTTGTAATAATAATCACCTCGCTTAGCAGTGGAAATTCTGGTCCCAACTGTCATTGTTAAATCGAAGACTACAAGTACAGCAGTGAGAGCAATTGAACGATATTATCTTTTCACACCCTCACTGTGATTTTCCCTTTTCCAAAATATTTCATATTGATCAGCAAGGAAACAGTTATGGGTCTGAGGCTGACAGTCTGCTAACTGATATTTATGCTAATTCTACTCTGTTCCTGGAGGATGTAATAGTATTAATCGTTATCAATACAACCTTGAGGGTTTTTTTTAGACAATAATCCACCTAGCCCAGTGATGGCAAACCTTTTAGAGACCGAGTGCCCAAACCGCAATCCAAACCCACTTATTTATCGCAAAGTGCCAGGGCCGCATCAGCATTGTGGTGCCCTCGGGGGGGGGGGGGGCAGGGAGGAGCCTCTGAGTGCCGCCTCTGGCATGCAAAACCCGGGGGCGCAAAAATGGCCACCGCCACGCTACGGGGTGCAGATACAAGGCGCTGCACCACGCAAGAATGGGGCAGGGCTAGTGAGTATCACGCAGGCACTAGCCCCGCCCCATTTGCAGTGCATGTATGCTCGCGGCCCAGTGCGCGCATGCACACATGTAAAATACTTCCCCCTCCTTTTTCTTCCAGTCCACCAATCGACAATGGTTGGTGACCTCTGCTCTCCCACCTCTACTTGAGCTTGCTAGTCGGCCGCTTCGCCTCCTTTGTGCTGGGTGGGGCTCCTGCTCCGGGTGGCAGTGGTGGCCTGATGGATCTGCTGCTGGCGGCAATGGCAAGTGTGCCAACAGAGAGGGCTCTGAGTGCCGCCTCTGGCACCCGTGCCATAGGTTCGCCACCACTGACCTATTGGTCTTTTTATGGTTCCCCCTCTCCCTTCAGTTCTTTTGTATTTTTTTTTTAAAAAAAACAATTTATTTGCATAGAAAGAAAATGCCCATTTTTTCCTAAAGCAACCCTTTTAGAGTTGAAACCCTTTCTAAAAGGTTTAAATCAGTTTACAAGTGATATTTTATGCAAAACTCTGGCATTCTGAGCATGGCTCTGCATATATATATATTTTAATACCGGGAAGACTTCTGATTCACATACATTATGTATGTAATTAAAAATATATGCAAATGCTACCGCACATCCAAAATTGGTTCTTTGGATTGTGGCCCTTGACTTTCAATTTAAACATTACTGGGCATGGAATTTCTTGTGGGAAATTTTTAACATTCTTAAAAGAGGCCACATTTGTGAAAGCAGGTGGATTAGCCCTTTGCTCTGATGATGTTAACAGGTTGTTAACGAAAGCTCAGCAATTAATAAAAAAAGCCTTTTACCTTACATCCCAGAGCTCTTTGTTTTTATCTGATTGACTTTAAATGTCCATACCTGGGATTCCGATATTCAAATACACACACACACACACACACACACACACACACACACAGAGGCCTCAACTTATAACCCTCCATTTAGTGATCCTTCCAAGTTATGACGACACTGAAAAAAGTGACTTACAACTGGTCCTCACACTTATGACCGTTTGCAGCATCCGAGGGTCAACTGATGACCATTTGTGAGCTTCCCAGGCAACTTCTGACAAGCAAAGTCAATGGGGTAAACTAGATTTGCTTAACGATCATGCGATCCACTTAATGTCTGCAGTGATTCGTTTAACAGCCATGGCAAAAAGGTTGTAAAATCGAGCCCAACTCTCGATGTTTATGTTCGAGCAGGGATGTCATTTCTGCTTGCTTGTGTGCAATGCGCTGGACTTAAGTTATGTTCTATTCAGCACCGCATTAAGTTCGAAACAGTGGAATACATTATTGATCCTTAACCTCAGTAAGTAAAACTGCCGATGTAGAACAGGATATTACAGATTATACCAGAGGGGCAGAATCCAGAAAAAAATCCTGCAGAAAGAAGCTGACCATAAATAAATAATTAAAAAAAACCCCACTGATTTTGTTCTCGCACGGAAGCTGATGCCTCAGTGAGGAATTTTCCTCTTAAAGAGATTTCTCTCTGAGCCCTGGAAATAATGTACAATAATGCATCCAACAGAACATAAAAAAAAAAAAAAAAAGCCAGGCTCTTCAGGAAGCAGAAAACTGTGAAAGTACCAAGGGCCTGCTTTTTCTAAATGGTGAAACACAGAAAGGCTTTAAAAAATGAGCAGAACAATAATATTTATCCACGAAGGATAATTAAATGGTACAAAACCACGGGGCCACCATGCCTTCCAGGAAATTGACATCTCAGAGCAGCAAGGCCCGTCGATGAAGAAGTGAAGCACGACAAAAACAGTCCAAGCCACTGTTTCTCAACCGTGACCACTTTCAGAGGTGCCACCTTGGCTGGGGAATTCTGGGAGTTGAAGTCCACGCATCTGAAGATGACCAAGGTTGAGAAAAACAGATCTTAACCTCTCCCCATTTTATGCTCACAGAAAATGGGCTGAATTGGGCACGGGAGAACATTCTCTGAACCACTTCATCATGGTGACATGGCAGATACCTCCAAGAATTCTCATGGGCATCTCTCTTCTCAGGAGGGTTTGGAGCCATATAATGCTCGTTCCACCATTTGAATTTTATCTCAATTTATCTTCTGCAGAAGCTGGGCCAAGGGATGGATTAGACCCAAGGACATGGAAGACAACTCACCCTACCAGGAGACCAAAGTCTTCTGGCTGTCCTTGGTGTTTTCCGAGCTTGGTGGTTTCTGAGCTTGTTGTTTATCAGCAGGTTATCAACCTAGATAACATAATCAGTAGCTCTGATGATGTTACCCAGTTTGGTAATGAAATGTCTGCAAGAAAACCATCAAGCTCAGAAACCACAATACAGCCCTGAGCTACACATCCTCTCTTCTGTCGGGACCAAACTCTTGCCTGCCAACTTGTCTATCAGTGGCCCCACACAAATTCGTCCGCCATTAATCTAGCAAAGCCTCAAAGCTATTCCAAAATAGAAACCAAGAGTGCAGCCTGACTATTAGTTGTCCTCTGGATTTTGTGTTCTGAAACATCCTAACACAAGAAGTACCCAAGGAAATGTGACATTGGAGGAAGTCACCCTGAGCTAAACAATCTATCACGTGTCACCTTTTGCACAACCCAACCACAGAACTGGCAATCTTATCCAACTACAACTCAAGATAAAGCTGGCTAATTAGATTAAAGACAGCCTTTACATTTCAGCTCTTAAAAGATTTCTACGGTTGGCTTCTTACTGCCTAGTCCTTTGCAAACCTTATCTGGTTAAACACTCCTGGGGCATTCTGATTATTGTGGTTACACACTGGGAACCTTCAACATGTTCTTTCTCTAATGTGATCTCATAAATGCCGTCATCGACCAGCAATGCCCTTTGGCAGTGGTTTCTCAACCTTGACAACTTTAAGATGTGTGGACTTCAACTCCCAGAATTCTCTGCCTGGGGAATTCTGGGAGCTGAAGTCCATACATCTTAAAACTGTCAAGGCTGAGAAACAGAGTCCTTCGGGATTCCGTGTAGAACAAAGAAAGGCAAACTTTGCACAACAGAATGACTCGACACAGGTTTAACCAAGAGGATTCCAAATAAGGACAAAATAATATCAAATTACTTTGGTTTCCAAAGGAATTCCATGACAGATCTCACAATAGCCATTTTGGGGGAAAAAATAATAATAACAGCACCACTGAGTGAGAGACTGCTGAACACACATGCATTAAAAGTTTTAGGCTATCTCAAAAGGTCTCAACAAGCCCAGTAGGTTTTTAACACGTTACAATCGTTAATTGACAAAATAATCTGTTTTATATATAGCCTGTAATTGCAAAAGTATCCCAGTTCCACACCTTCTCTCTTCCACTTTAAATCCCACATCAGTTTGACTACTTCAGACAACTGATGAAATGAATTATATCTCACAAAAATTTATATTTTTAATAAAAGGCATTAATCTGAAAATGTGCTACCTCTTCCTGATTTGGGTGATACAATCAGGAAGAATCTTTTCAGGCTTTTTATTAAAAGGCACAAACTTGTGAGATACAGCTCATTTCTCCCTTAAAATGATGACCACATCCCACAGCACTATGGAATTGTGCTAGTGAGATTACACACTACCCATTTGCAGGTGTGTAATTTCAAACTTCCCTCGTGCATCTTAAGTAAAGGAGTGGAATAAATGTTTCAAAGCTATGCAAAACTCAAAAACGTTGAACTTAGATTCCAAGAACATTTGCAGAACAGATTATTGCAGGACATGAGAAATCATTCTGGAATCCCAATCAATGGTTACTAATGATAAAAAAAATAGTTTTGTTTTAACTATTGATACCAGACAGCCAAAGTAAATTGTGTTCACAGTGAAATGTTTGCCACTTGCCCTAAAACATGGTTGGGATGTAGGAATCTGTGTTGTTAAGTTCTGGGTTGTCATCATCTTAGCCAACATTGGCAATAATCTAAGAGAAGGGAAATTGAAATGTATGAAGCCTGCAGCTTCCCTTTCTCAAACAAAGCAAGCACCATCCTTGGAGAAATACTTACTGGGCACAGAGTGCCAATGGAAAGAGGAACTGTCTTAATTATGGGACTGGGGGAAACAATCTATTGTCCAAAATCCCCAATCTTTGTTTCTGGACGACTGAGCAAAGAAAAGCTTCTATTTTTAAGAGCAAAGATAATTTCCAAATTCATTATGGTACGCAGCTGCTGAAATAAACCAATGAGCTATTTTTATAGTCAGAGAACTTACCAAATATTTCTCCATTTTTGGCATATTCTGTCACAAGGTACAGCATGCTTTTGGTCTCCATCACCTGTGAATGAAAGAAATAAAACATCACTTTAACTGGCAAAAGGGGGGGGGGAGAAATCCCAGGAACTCTTGGAAGCAACTTTTTCAGTATTTTTCTAACGAAAACGAGACACCAGAGTTATCATTACACGTTTAAAATTTCTAAATTACTTCAAGAATTCAAAGGTGAAGGCAGGATGGAGATCAAGCTTCCCTAAATTGGTAATTAAAAGGAATGCCTCGTTACTGGAACACAACCAACCTTAAGATATATTGAGATTTCTCAGAATAAACTGCAAGATGTAGCCTGAAGGTTGTGGGATTTGAGCCAATGTGCTGAAGCAATAAGTTCTAAATTAGCAGGAGAACAAATAAAATCCATAGTCCTGAATTCTGCATCTAGCATTTATTGTGTGATGCCAGATATAAGAAAACAATGCCAGATACTTTTAATCTTGAAGGCAAAGGCAAGATAAATCACTTGGCACTGAAATGTTTAGATCTGTTTTCTGGGAAGATCTGTCTCATTAAACAATTCTCCAATGGCTTTTGCGCAAAATAAGAAGACAAATAAGAACTGCAACAGAATTTCCGAAGTCTTGCAAGAACAGAATTTTCCTGTTGAGGGTTCCTGCCGGTCAACCATCTTCTTCTCCAGGATGTTATAATTTGGGGTGAAGAGAAGACAGAAGTGGTCAACTGATGTATTTTAGACAAACTAACTAGAACAGAAACAATTTCTGTCTCCCAAATGTTTAAATACGAAGATGAACAAATTGGATGGAGTCCACAAACGTTTATGCCAGAATACATTTATTTGCTTTCATGCTATCACAAGACACTTCCAAGAACTTCAAATGTTTTTTTCCCAAATCGAGTACAAATTGCAAACCCTCGTGGTGGAGTGAGAGATTCTGGCATTAGTGGATAATCATCTCACTTAGAATGTTAAAAGCAGTTTGTTAGGACAAAGGAGAGACCAAAAATGCTTTTAATAAATGCAGAAAGTTGGAGAATTGAAAAGCTTGGAGAATTCTTCTTGGGCCTTGAGAAAGTTTGACGTCATGGCCAAAGTAATCTCTTGATCAACGGGAGGAAACTCAGCAGCTAGAAGATGTGCAGCGATGGTGAGCCAGGGGTGTAGCAATTCAGACAGGGCCTCTTGATGCACACAAATCAGCAAACTCTTCAACACAATTTCTCTGGCTGAGATAAAGGATGGCAGCTCTTCACCATAGTTGTTTAGAAGAGAAGGGATCTGTCTGTCTGTCTATCTTATCTATCTTATCTATCTTATCTATCTATCTATCCATCCATCCATCCATCCATCCATCCATCCATCCATCCATCCATCCATCCATCCATCCATCCATCCATCCATCCATCCATCCATCCATCCATCCATCTATCTATCTATCCATCCATCCATCCATCCATCCCTATCTATCTATCTATCTATCTATCTATCTATCTATCTATCTGTCTGTCTGTCTGTCTGTCTGTCCGTCCGTCCGTCCGTCCGTCCGTCCGTCCGTCCGTCCGTCCGTCCATCCATCCATCCATCCATTCTATCCTGTCCTATCCATCCCATCCCATCCCATCCCTCCCTCCCTCCCTCCCTCCCTCCCTCCATCCATCCATCCATCCATCCAATTTCTACACTATCCCATCTCACCTAAGTAATTCTGGGCACTTTGCAAACAATACTATAAAATAATATAAAAGCATGACTAAAAGCATAGTTAAAAAGAGAATTAAAATGCAAGATTAAAATTAATAAATGAAAAGTAAAAAAAAATCAGAGTTAAGAAATCAACAAGGCTAAAAAGATTTGCATGAAACCCCATCCAACTCCTAAGCTGCGAGCCTTCTGCTGAATGTATTTATTGGTGAAATCATTGGAAGGATTTGGTTTATTGGAAGTCAAAGAAAGTCTCAACTACTCAGTAACAAAAGATGACTAAAAGAGTACTGTTGACAGCTAGCTGCTTTTTCCAGAAGATCTCAGAGCATGAAATAGTATTATGCTATTTTTTATGATCTGGATCATTCTCTCATTTCTAAATTGCAGCTCAAATAAGTCTGCTGTTCATTTTATAATATCACCATTAACTTCTTGATTTATAGCATATTGTCAATATTGATACATGATTTAATAAAAGCGAACCACACAACTCAAAAGCCAGACCTCTTCTTTAAATGGTGGGGGAATCTCTTTTTCTTGAGATTCAACATTTAATCCGGGTAATTTGTTAATGACATTTGAGTAAACTAATAAAGAGAGTTCTAAGCAAGGCCTTTATGTAGATTTACAATGAACTGAATCCGATGGCTTCTAGTGGCTCATAGCGCTGCTTCTGAAAAACTCTTGTCCATTTCACTTATTCATGTCTGGGATTTGCTCCTGAATTACTACATCCCTGTCAGTGCTTAAAACTTCTATATTTGAATTTTGGCTCGGTCCATGGTGAAGGTTCAACCACTTCCTACTTTGGTTCTACAACTGCCTGTCGTCATTTCAAACATCTGGTTGTCTAACGAGAAAGACTTGCCTTCAAAACCAAATCATCCTTTTTTATCAGACAGATCAACAGGAGTATGGAAACAAGTAGTGCTTAACTGTTAAAGGGGCATAATGTAGCTTTCCATATCAATGCAACATAAATTCCTGATTGCTTAATGTTTTGTGTGCCTACTACCTGCATAAGATAAAAGATAATCAATGCTAATGGGATATGGTGCTCTAAACAAGTCCTCAAGGAAATTTCTAGGACGTTTACTTGATTGATGCTGAGATGAACCTCTTTTTTGTAGGATAGCATGGCTATATAACAAGGAAGGCAATATTAAAGACAAATGTCATGCGGTCTATTTCAACTTTCAAACTTATTTAAGTGTCACAGCTACAGAGCTTTACTGAATGAATTAGATCAGTCTACAGAGCTTTGACCGGTAACAACTCATCAATAAATCTGGAGAAGCAATAAACAGGCTCCACACCAATTCACATATATATATATATAATAATAATAAAGTTGGAAGGGACTTTGGAGGTCATCTAGTCCAACCCCCTGTTCAGGCAGGAAACCCTATATGTGTGTGTGTGTGTGGGGGGGCTAGATGTGGTTTAGCATTAAGCATAAACAATCCAAATATTTAATGCAGAGAAACAACATAGTCACTGCTCTGAGAACTAAGGAAACTCTACTTTCCAACTCTTTAGAGCAGGGGTCCCCAACCTTGGCAACTTTAAGACTTGTGGATTTCAATTCCCAGAATTCCTCAGCCAGCAAAGCTGCCAAGGTTGGAGACCCCTGATTTAGACCAAAGGTGGGCAACTCTGGCCCTTTTATGACCTGTGGACTTCAGCTCCCAGAATTCCTGAGCCAGCCATGTATGGCTAGCTCAGGAATTCTGGGAGTTGAAGTCCACAGCTTTAAAGGGGGTCACAGCTGCCCACCTTTAGACCATGAGCAAAAGTCAAGGATGAAGATGGAAGCAGGCAAATTACAGATTTTTGAAATACCGCCGTTCACTCTTCCGCATTAGGAAATTGTGGAGTAGTGAATCGCTCTACTTGAACATGCGGATGCAAAGCTATTCAGGTCAAACTGCAGATTACATAAACAGGATCATGTGAAAGATGAAGTCCCACTGATCCATCTGGCCTTATGTTAGCCTCAAGTGACTCACTGCATTCCTAAAAGACTCTAAGCCAGGATTCTTCCCCAGTGTGGCTTGTTAGTAAGAAAGTGGGCTGATGAATGTTGGCTTCCTGCTCCCACTTCACTCTTTCTTCAAGCAGGGGCATATAAACCAACCAGCAACCAAGATGGAAGTGTTTAGCATTATGCCAAAACATGGCCTGTTGTTTCTCCTATAAGCCTGGGTTTAAACATTTCCAAACCATTTCAAACCACAGTTCCTTGAAGACCAACAATCCAGGAGTCAAGCCATTCAGATATATGATGGTTTACCCTGCAAGTCCTTGGATAGCATAGCTGTCCCTGCAGGTACAGTAGTGGCCAAAATTGTGGAAACCTTTTGGGAAAAGTGTATTTTTGAGGTTTGATGGCTAATAACACTTTTTTTTGGAGTAGTACCATAAAATTATATATCAATGGAAAGATAATTTAATCAAGAATGTAATGCAACAAAGTTTGTTCAATTATCTGTACTGTATTCTATGAAAAGTTATAGCCAAATAACCAGAAAAAGGAAGCACAACTTGCTTAGGTTGATATCAGATAGCTTTCCTTCATCTGATTGTAGCCAATGAGCATGAGTGTTTAGAGAGCCAATCAGGTGTCATCTTGTTTTGGCAATGAGCCAATCAGATCACAGTAGGATTCAGTTATTGATGTCATGTATTGAAGCTGAGAGGAGGTCATCTGTCGGTGTGTTATGTGATGGCTATCAAGTTGGTTGGGGGTTTTTTGTGTGTTCTTTCATTTAGTGAGCTTGTAAAACGTAATAAAATTAAAGGAATGGTGCAAAGAGTTGACTGGTCACCCAGAAAGCGATGTAAAATAGTATTATTAAGTGAACAAGGCTACAGTTATAAAGAAATTAGAAGAAAAATTGGTGGAAACTTAACCAAAGGTGGCATCTCTACTGTACACTTTTCCCAAAAGGTTTCCACAATTTTGGCCACTACTGTAGAAGGAACCAAATAGGCACAAGTGTGCAACAATTTTAAACCCAGCTCCCCTTGGCTTTTGTGGCTGAAGTCAAGGGAAGTTCAGGCTTGTGAATTAATGAATTATTCAAAGCAATACAGTTGTTCACATTCAAAAAGGATGAAGTATCTGAAGTATCAAATTGTTTCCAGATTTGTACACAAGGATTAATTAATTACTACTCAATAATTCAACCAATGGCAACCAGCCAAAGATAAATTCAGGAGCTGACTGGTAAGAAGGCTTGGTTACTGTCACTTTTTAACATTCAGATTTGACAGGAGAGAGGGTTACATACCTGATAAAGCTTGATAATATGTGGATGGTCCAGCATTTTCATGATCTGTACCTCCCGGTAAATTTTTTCCAGGTTCACAGAATCTAGCTGAGATTTGTCGATGATTTTTATTGCCACCTAGAAACACACAAGAGGAATGGATGATGTCAACCCGGCCTTGACAAACCACATCACCAAAGTGCAAAGAAACTGCACCCATCCAGTTTTGACGAGGGCTGTATTGACTGTGCTCTAATACTAAAATGCTGCATGAAGAAAAATCAAGGATTGGGGGTGGTGGTGAGTGGGAGCAAATATTATATTGTATAAAACCCGATGCTTTGCTTCTGTTGACAGTAGTTAGTTCCTAAAAGAATGGGATTCATACTCAGTGGCCAAGGCATTTCTCTGTAGCAACCTGTTTCAAAGACTTCTCCAACTCTCTTAAGCAGATTTTGAGAATATATGGGGAAAGTGAGGAATTACACAAGCAAACTTCCATTCCCATGAGACTGGATTCCCCTAATTTATCTCATTTTACTTTTAGTTATCCTGCTGTGGGAGAATGGGTGGCAGAACCTAGGGGCAGGGTGAAAAGAGGGACCAGCCTAGAATCCCTACACAGCCACAAGCAAGCGAAGTCCAATGTTCCTTGAGTGCTGTTGACCCTTATCTAACTCTTAACAAGAGTTCACCACAAGCTGAGAAGATCCTTGTGCACAGGCTATAGCAATAAATCAGTCTAATTGAACCTTCATGTGTGGGACCTGGTCTTTGGAAGCTGACACTTGCTTAGTGGAGATCCGCTGATTCATATTCAGAAGCATCCACTTTTATTTTGTTTGTATTAAAATGGAACAGAATGCTTGAAAGTGAGACTTAAGTATTCGCCCTTATCTTGACAGCCAGGAATACAAAGGAGAGCAAACATTTTGAAGCTTATCATGGAAATGAAGGATAAGCAAGAAAGAGTCAGTTGCTGAGAAAGGAGTCAGAAAACAAATAAATAAACTAGACATTTGCTTCACACCAAAAGCAACCTCAAAGGTTGCCCCTATTAAAAGTTCATGACTAATATATTGTACATTAGTCATATGTGGAACTTACACTCTCCATGCTTGCAGGAGGAATCCCCCCGCCTACTGATCCTCAGAGATGATGGAAAAAGTTCTTTAATGTAAAACTAGCCTTTAAGAATGTGCAACTGGAAAGCAAACTCAGTGGAGCTGATTTATTGCAAGTTTCCTCATTTTAACTATGATTAATGTTTCAGACACTTTAAAAAAACCCATAGAGGTAGTCCTCAGTTTATGACCACAACTGAGCCCCAAATTTATGTTACTAAGTGAGACATTTGTTAAGTGAGTTTGGCCCATTTTACGACTTTTCTCACCACATTGGTTAAGCGAATCACTGCCATTTTTAAATTCATCACACAGCTGTTAAGTGAATCCAGCTCCCCCCATTGACTTTGCTTGTCAGAAGGTCGCAAAAGGGGATCTGGTGACCCCCGAGACGCTGCGACCGTCGTAAATGTGAGTCAATAGTCAAGCATCTGAATGTAAATCACGTGACCATGGGGATGTTGCAACAGTCGTTAAGTGTGAAAAATGGTCCCAAGGCACTTTTTTCAGTGCCGTCGTAACTTTGAACGGTCACTAAATCAACTGTTGTAAGTTGAGAACTACTTGTATATCACTGTATAATAGCTTAGGGAAAGCTAAGCCACTTAAAACACAAAAAACCACAATTCCACCTATCTACAAATCTCTGTATTTTTCCCCCCCCCCCAAAAAAAGAGCCAAAGAGACATATCCATTTAAAAATTAAAATATGTCCATGTTAAAATTAAAATGCAGTACATTGTCAGTGAAGAATCAGACAAGAGCAGAATGACCTCTAAAAAACCAGTATCAATTGTTTTCTCTCTGGCATACATACATCGGCGGACAGGCTTGGCTCATAATTACACAACGACACAATGTGGTTTATTTGGTTTTCGCCTTATCAATCTTCTGAGTTTTCATTAAGTTGCTTTTCATCCAGACAGCATTATTCCGACCTGTTGGGTGCCCCTTTTTTGTATGTTGGACATCATATAGCCACATCTTGAAGATAGAGACAAAATGGCTCTAGCAGGCATTTCTCTACCCCAATATTAAAAGCTGCAATCGTTCCAGAAAGAGGAATGGTGAAAATTTCTAGGCAAGTAAAGGAAAATCTTTCTTTGTGATTCATATTTCATCGGCGTAATTTGCTGCTTGCAAGGACAGTGTAAAAACTCTTGAGCTACAATAAGCTTACTATAGCCTCTCCAGAATGTCTCAAGATTGTTAAGAGAGCTATTCTCATCCTTTCAGTTGAGGGCTTCCAAGAAGGCCCCATTGGCCCAATAGGAGAGTAAAAACTTTTTCTTAAAACCTTTTTAAAGATTTGAATAAACATAAATAAGATATTTACACCAGTGTTCCTCAAGCTTGGCAACTTGGAAGATGGATGGCTGGTGAATTCTGGGAGTTGAAGTCCACTCATCTTCAAGTTGCCACGCTTGAGAAAAAGTGGTTTAATCCACCGAGTTTCCTCCTTCTAGGCATTTATTTTAGGCAAATCTGGATTGTGTGCAGGACTTGTGCTAAAAAAGAGACTGTGAGGTACAGGGAGTCCTTGACTTACAATCACAATTGAGCCCCAAATATTCTGTTGTTAAGTGAGAATTTGTTAAATGAGTTTTGCCCCTTTCTTGCCACTGTTGTTAAGTGGATCTGGCTTAACAAATCTGGAACCACTGCAGTTGGTAAGTTAGTAACCCGGTTGTTAAGTGGATCTGGCTTCCCCTTTGACTCTGCTTGTCAGAAGATCGCAAAAGGGACACTGCAACCGTCATAAATACGAGTCAGTTGCCAAACATCTGAATTTTGATCACATGACTCCGGGATGCTGCAACGGTCATAAGTATGAACCAGTTGCCAAACGTCTGAATTTTGATCACGTGATCATGGTGATGCTGCAAAGATTGTAAGTCCTTTTTTTCAGTGCCGTTATAACTTTGAACGGTCACTAAACAAACGGTTGTTAAGTCAAGGACTACCTGTATTTTACAACTGTCCCCAAATATTCCCAATCATGTTTTCTCTATGAACAGGTCTATCTGGGAGGGATTATTTTCCAAGTAGCTGTCATCAGCAACCCTACTGGGCAGCAAAATTCCACCCCAACCATCTGTGGAAACAAATTGGTGGTTTGAGGCAACAGGAAATTTGTATCTTTTTTTTTTTTTTTTTGCCTTATCGGGAAAGTCCTTCTATCACGAATCACGCCGCGGACTTAAGGCTCCCAACATTGCAAAGAGTTGTGTATTGGGAACGGAAAGTCAATCTCTCTGGGAGAAGTATCAAACCCACACTTCTCTTGTTTACCCAACAGATAACCGGCTTATGAAAATGTCACAACATATAATTAAGAGGAGCAGGGCTTCCAAAGGAGACTTAAAGATGAATCACCAGAAAAGCCAGCTCTTATTAGAAATAGAATAGAAACTCTTATTCATCCCTGAAAATCTTGCATGCATCAAGGAAAAGGGGGGGGGGAAGAAGGCCCACGAAGCAGCTTGCACCATTCAGACAAAACACATCCACAAAGATGCAGACACATTTGTAGAGAGAAACGAAACAGATGGACCCGGCTTGTATTTTGGCAGCAGCACATTTTTCTCCCTGTGCTATCAAATTATTTCCAAATAAAGTAGAATAAGGATCTTCTGTTCATTTTTGAACTAGGATATGACACCTTCAGAGAGGATGTCCCAATCTTGCCAACTGTTAAGACCTGTGGACTTCAATTCCCAGAATTCCCCAGCCTGGGAATTGAAGTCCACAGGTCTTAAAGTTGCCAACGAATGAAGGCCAATATATATGTCCAAGGATAATAATGTTGCAGGATCCAAACTGGGTTGGTCACTAAAGACAGGCAGTTCAAATGCTTATAAAGATCTACAAGAATTGGAACTACTAACGGTCCAAGGCAATTGGCGGTAGATAAGAGTCAATGGAATTCAAGGTGGGCTGGATTTAGATCTTTTGTGGGCACGAAAGGATGCCAGACTGATGACGTGCTTGACCCCCTCCCTCGGACCCAGCCTGGTCATTTCCTACACTGTCACTGCATCACAACAACACCCATAAACTGAGGACCACATAGGTTGTTAACTGACAAACAGCAGGTTTTCCCAGAGAAGGGGTGCAGGGAATTGAGGGGTGCTGCAGGCGAGCTAGCAACAGCAGCGGGGCGAGTCCTGGAAGTGCAGGCAGGAAGATGCGCTGGAGAACAAGATCTCTGGGACATTTCTAATGGGGCTTCTCGGAAGACCTATTGGCTTCCCCATTGACTTAGGGAAAGTGAGCAATGGTGACTGTGTGTTTGTGCAGACACCGCAACTTTGCAGACCAGCTGCAAGTCCTTCTCCTTCACAGCCGTCTTAATTTTGAACAGTCGCTGAATGAATGGCCGTCAATCGAGGACAACCAGTATAAACCGAATGAAACAGGTGAGTTTTAAAATTCATAACAAGAAAAAAAGGACATCACCTAAGCCAGTATTCAAAATGAAAAAAGTGTAGATCTGAACCAAGAATCAAACAGCCTAGACTCAGAGAGTGACTGGACGGAGGCAGTGGATAAATTGCCGGAATAAATAGTCTAAAAGTGCTGCCATCGCACTCCTGCCACTCTACTTAAAATACCGTTTAAATAAAATGTATAATATTTCTCTAGCATTTTGTGTGGCTGGAGCCAAAAGTAAAAACTTCAGAACCTAAAAGAGAGAGATTTTAAAAACGGGGAGATGAACAAATTTTGCTGTAAACTTTGCTCAGATTTCAGAGCTAATCCATCTCTCTGCCACTCCTTCATCCTCTCCTCACTATATCTGTCTGTCTGTCTGCAACATAACAGTTCTAAACAACGACAAAAGAAATTTCTTCTGAAAGTCTGCAAGCTAGGCAGCTCTAAGAAGTTCACTTCTCGGTAAGTCAGATGTTTCACACCAAAGCCAGTGTGGTCTATTATTCCACAAACTTCTTCAACTTCTGAAATTGGAAAAAGAATTCTTTGCTAAACTAAGGCCAAAGCATTCGGAT